TGCATTCTCTCATGGGATTATAATGATGTCAACAGGTATGTTGCAAGACATCATTGATGTGTCTTGATGTTGCAGAGCATCAGTCAGCCGGCAACTGCCACCTTGAGGCCCAAGTTTACTTTAGAAGACAAAAGTATCGTAAAGCGAGATGTGGTGTTAGTCTCCTGCAGGTTGCAAGGGTTACTGTTGATACCTCGCTTAGGATGTGTTTTATTTCATTAGGTTACTGTTTTAAACGTGTTTTTGTATGGTGTGAACTCTTCAAGTGTTTGCTAACTTTTGTCAGTGTCACAACAGTGTCACAAGTGACATAACAGTGTTATAACAGTGTCACAACAGTGTTATAGCAGTGTCACAAGTGTCCCAACAGTGTCGTAACAGTGTCGTAACAGTGTCACACGTGTCACAACAGTGCCACAAGTGTCACAACAGTGCCACAAGTGTCACAACAGTGCCACAAGTGTCACAACAGTGTCACAAGTGTCACAACAGTGTCACAACAGTTCCACAAGTGTCACAACAGTGCCACAAGTGTCACAACAGTGTCACAAGTGTCCCAACAGTGCCACAAGTGTCACAACAGTGCCACAAGTGTCACAACAGTGCCACAAGTGTCACAACAGTGCCACAAGTGTCACAACAGTGCCACAAGTGTCACAACAGTGCCACAAGTGTCACAACAGTGCCACAAGTGTCACAACAGTGCCACAAGTGTCACAACAGTCACAACAGTGCCACAAGTGTCACAAGTGTCACAACAGTGTCACAAGTGTCACAACAGTGTCAGTGTCACAAGTGTCACAACAGTGTCACAAGTGTCACAACAGTGCCACAAGTGTCACAACAGTGTCACAAGTGTCATAACAGTGCCACAAGTGTCACAACAGTGTCACAAGTGTCACAACAGTGTCAGTGTCACAACAGTGTCACAAGTGTCACAACAGTGTCTGTGTCACAAGTGTCACAACAGTGCCACAAGTGTCACAACAGTGTCACAAGTGTCACAACAGTGCCACAAGTGTCACAACAGTGCCACAAGTGTCACAACAGTGTCACAAGTGTCACAACAGTGCCACAAGTGTCACAACAGTGCCACAAGTGTCACAACAGTGCCACAAGTGTCACAACAGTGTCACAAGTGTCACAACAGTGCCACAAGTGTCACAACAGTGCCACAAGTGTCACAACAGTGTCCCAACAGTGTCGTAACAGTGCCACACGTCTCACAACAGTGCCACAAGTGTCACAACAGTGCCACAAGTGTCACAACAGTGCCACAAGTGTCACAACAGTGCCACAAGTGTCACAACAGTGTCACAAGTGTCACAACAGTCACAACAGTGCCAAAAGTGTCACAACAGTGTCACAACAGTGTCACAAGTGTCACAACAGTGCCACAAGTGTCACAAGTGTCACAACAGTGTCACAAGTGTCACAACAGTGCCACAACAGTGTCAGTGTCACAAGTGTCACAACAGTGTCACAAGTGTCACAACAGTGCCACAAGTGTCACAACAGTGTCACAAGTGTCACAACAGTGCCACAAGTGTCACAACAGTGTCACAAGTGTCACAACAGTGTCAGTGTCACAACAGTGTCACAAGTGTCACAACAGTGTCTGTGTCACAAGTGTCACAACAGTGCCACAAGTGTCACAACAGTGTCACAACAGTGTCACAAGTGTCACAACAGTGCCACAAGTGTCACAACAGTGCCACAAGTGTCACAACAGTGTCACAAGTGTCACAACAGTGCCACAAGTGTCACAACAGTGCCACAAGTGTCACAACAGTGCCACAAGTGTCACAACAGTGCCACAAGTGTCACAACAGTGCCACAAGTGTCACAACAGTGCCACAAGTGTCACAACAGTGCCACAAGTGTCACAACAGTGTCACAAGTGTCACAACAGTGCCACAAGTGTCACAACAGTGTCACAAGTGTCACAACAGTGCCACAAGTGTCACAACAGTGCCACAACAGTGCCACAAGTGTCACACAAGTGTAAATAAGGATGGAGTCCCTATCTGGCTATAACAGTCCAAGTCTTTATATAATATTTCTAACTAACTTCTTTGACTTTGTTGTCTATTCACTGGAGAAGAGAACTCTTCAATATTGGTTACATAGAATTACGGGCTCACCATAGCCCGTGCTACCTGGAACTTTTTGTTCCAGGTAGCCAATCTTAAACCACAACAACAAATTGGTTATACCTGTGCAACTGTCTGCATCACTGGTGCACGATGGCGTCCATGGGTGCAACAGTCTGCTTGGTCATTTTTTATCTCTACTACTACTACTACTCTCTTTCTCTCTCTAAAGTTTCCCATTTCTCAACCTCACCTTCCTCTTCCATCGTCTGTCCTTGCTCTTCCTATTCTGCCCATCACCTTCCGTTCCCACCCATTCTCTCATCTCACCCTCCCGCCCCTTCCTCTCCCCTCCCCCCCCCCCTCACTGTTCAGTAGGCCCACGTCACTCCTCCCTCCCTCCCTCTCTCTTCCTCTCTTCCTCTCTCTCTCTCTCTCTCTCTCCTCCCTCTCCCCTCCCCACACAGCTGTTGCGTCCCTCCTTGTCCCGTTCTCTCTCTCCTCTTCTCCGTCACTTTACTACCTATAAATACTAATTTGTGCCCTTTATGGCATCTTCAACGTCGCGTTTTCTGTCGCTTCTCCTCCTCCTCCTGCTCCTCCTCCTCCTCATATAGCCCTTCCTCCACTCCTTGCCTACTCCAAAACCTTTTCTTCCTCAATTCCATTTATTCATCCGTCAAAAAGTTTTAATAATAATAAATCATTGTGTCGGGGGACAGGCAGCCAGTGGGTATATATATGATAGGCTTATAACGAGACTATAGTTTCACAAAAGTACCATCAAAACAGGAGGGTGGGTGGGAATAATGGTGTCAAGACATAATTGCACCCCCTAATATTTAGGCACATAATAGTACGTATAGTTGACCAGATAATTACGTGAGACAGACAGCCAGACAGACAGACAGACAGACAGACACACACACACACACACACACACACACACACACACACACACACACACACACACACACACACGAGGGGACATGGGTGGAAACTGGAAAATCAGATGAGTCACAGAGATGTTAGGAAGTTTTCTTTTAGCGTGAGAGTAGTAGAAAAATGGAATGCACTTGGGGAACAGGTTGTGGAAGCAAATACTATTCATACTTTTAAAACTAGGTATGATAGGGAAATGGGACAGGAGTCATTGCTGTAAACAACCGATAGCTAGAAAGGCGGGATCCAAGAGTCAATGCTCGATCCTGCAAGCACATATAGGTGAGTACATATAGGTGAGTACACACACACACACACACACACACACACACACACACACACACACACACTACAAATATGGCAAATGGCCGATCATATTAGGCGTGTAATTTGTGGCCATTTGAAGATTATCGTATACTCAACATGCACTGCCATATGGTAAATGTAAACAAAAATAAAGGTTTTTGCTTCGTAAAACATTTACAATTGTAATGAGGAAACAACACATATTCCGTCATCAGTTGTGTCACCAACAAAGAAGAAGAGAATGCTTCAGCATTTGGATGAAAGTTATACCTGATTTACCCGAGGGCCACTAACACTCTAGTGGCCTCGACAAGGACAGCAAGCTGGCGGCTTGTCAAAGGTCCCCCTCCCCCCTTCCCTCATCGTATAGTCCTGACGGCTGAGTAGACAGCCCTCGGGATTCATAGTCCTAATGTTCCGGGTTCGATCCCCAGTGGAGGCGGAAACAAATGGGCAGAGTTTCTTTCACTCTTACACACATTTACAATGCTAACTAGCATATACATACATTTTTCTTCTATCCTCCATGGACAGGGTTAGAGATCTGTTAAACATATAGTTCAGGGATTTATTGAACAGTCTTGATCAATACCCCCCACATATTGTTCAATATATATGCCTCGGATCCCATCTATATTTAAGACTTGTTCACGTTTGAGATCTAGTCAGCTCTCGATTTCTAGAAACAATTGGTGTTTTCAGAGATCAAATATATGTAATATATATATATATATATATATATATATATATATATATATATATATATATATATATATATATATATATATACTTTATGTATTTGTGTGTGTGAGAGAGAGAGAGAGAGAGAGAGAGAGAGAGAGAGAGAGAGAGAGAGAGAGAGAGAGAGAGAGAGAGAGAGAGAGAGAGAGAGAGAGAGTTCCACTGAAGTAACTTTAACATTAGTTAAAACCAGCTCACCCCCCCCCCCCCCCCCCCGCACACCCCCCCCCCCCCACTCCCCCCCAGGGCCCACAACCAGCCAACTACCCCCAAACAGGAACCACCCCCCCCCCCCCCCCCCGACCCACCAGGAACCAGCCACACTAACGCTATCCATTATATCACCAAATCGCCGTTGCTATCATCGCTACCGCTTATGTTCTTCCCTTATCTAATTTATCTCCCACTCCTCCCATTCGTTACCAATATATATATATATCTCCTCCCCTCTTATCGCGCGCTGGTCTGGGCGCGAGTAGCGTAAGTGCGCAATCTTCAAGATATTGTTTATGCCTGAGAAGCGTCCGGAGATAGCGCATTAAGGTGCTTGTGGCGCTGGGTCGTGCTTCTGTCCTTGTCTCTCTCGTATAATTTGTATATGAGTTTGTGTGTGTGGGTATAAGCTGGCTTTAGAGGCCGACTGCAGTTTCTAGCTATTCTTATGTTCTTCAGAGGTAGTGTGTGTGTATGTGTGTGTATTTGTGTGTGTATTTGTGTGTGTGTGTGTGTGTGTGTGTGTGTGTGTGTGTGTGTGTGTGTGTGTGTGTGTGTGTGTGTGTGTGTGTGTGTAAGAGTTCATCAGTAATCTGACTGTATTCCAAAACTATATATAATACAAGTTATCACCTTCCTCAGTGGCGGCCGTGCTTTCTGGTATATCCTGCCGTCAATTCTAGTATATCGTGCCGTGCCTTCTAGTATATCCTGCCGTGCCTTCTAGTATATCCTTCCGTGCCTTCTGGTATATCCTGCCGTGCCTTCTAGTAAATCCTGCCGTGCCTTCTAGTAAATCCTTCCGTGCCTTCTAGTATATCCTGCCGTGCCTTCTAGCATATCCTGCCGTGCTTTCTGGTATATCCTGTCGTGCCTTCTAGTATATCCTGCCGTGCCTTCTAGTATATCCTGCCGTGCTTTCTGGTATATCCTGCCGTGCCTTCTCAATAACCACACACACACACTATACACCCTCACACACACCTTCCTTAACAATACCACCACCACCACATCACGCTGCTTCGACTCCCACCACCACTTCTACAGTCACTATCACGCCACTATCACAACCATCGTCACTATACCCCAACAATATATATATATATAATCCCCCCCCCCCCACAAGAGCAACGCCTCCAGAACATACCGGTCTAATCCCGCCCCTCCGGCACTTAAGACAAGACAATGCTGCGCCACGGAGGACTTACGATATCCAATTATTTAGGAGTGGGACGAGGTAAACAGCCATTACTGGAGGAACAGTTATCCTCGTATAACTCAGGCTGCAGCGTCTTCCACTATCAGAGGATAGCAGAGAAGCTGGGGAAGACGATGGGGGAGACGCAGGACAAGACGCAGAAGAAGACGCAGAAGAAGACGCAGGACAAGACGCAGGACAAGACGCTGAACAGGACTCGGGGCAAGATGAAGTTCCCCGACTTGTGAGGATGCTCTAGCGGCAAGACTTTGCTTGTCAGTAAAAATCTTTTTCCACAAGACCCGGACTTTATCCTCCGTGGGCGAGCACCTTCGGGTCTATCCCTACTCTCAGACACTTCCTTAAATGTTAATCAAGTTGTAACCAGGAAACAGATGGCTGTTAGAGGAAGAGAATAGGAGAGAGAGAGAGAGAGAGAGAGAGAGAGAGAGAGAGAGAGAGAGAGAGAGAGAGAGAGAGAGAGAGAGAGAGAGAGAGAGAGAGGAGAAAAACTGCTCCATAACATGGGAGAGGAAAATGAGGGTAACAGCCCTATGGGGAAAATGATGAGGGAAGGTGAAAATCTCCCAGGAAAGGAAAGTGAGGAGTAAACAGGAGGGCGGATGAAAGAAAGTGAGGAGGAAACAGGAGGGCGGATGAAAGAAAGTGAGGAGGAAACAGGAGGGCGGATGAAAGAAAGTGAGGAGGAAACGTGAGCAGGATTTATGAGTAGAGGCGCGACAGAACACTGTACATCCAAAGTCTGCAGAGCTGGACGAAGAAATGGCTATAGGAAATGAATATCATTAAGTGTAATGTGATGACAAAATTATACAGAAGACCACAAGGACGTTACACAATAGAGGACATCCACTTTTCAGAATCTATTATAGAAAAAGATCTGGTAGTAGATATAAAACCAAGTTTTACCCTAGTGGTTAACATAAATAGGATAACCTTATGTTATACTCGGCTATTTTAAGGAACCTCAGTAAGGAGCTATTCAGAACAGTGTACTCAACCTACGTGGTACTAGTCCTGGAAGATGCAGCCCCGACATGCAGATATTTGCCTCAAAAATCAGAAACTTGAAAAAAAGCTGGTTCGCAACAAGGTTTGATAACAAGAACCTTTCAAACAAGAGATGTCAGACCAATAATATTACCTTCTTAAGACACTAGTGCTCTTTAGGGTGGAGTATTGTTGCACACTACAGCTCCTTTCACAGTTGAAGAATGTGCAAAGATCTTTTACTGCTCGAATTCACTCATTAAATTTTTAAAATTTGTATTCTTAAACGAGATGCGTAATTATTTACTCTTGGTCACATTAGAGAGGCTGGTTCGAAATATGCTAATTTGTTTTTAAAAAGCTCGACGTAGTGACCCTAGAAAAGGAAGAGAGAAAGAAAGGAGACACGACAGAGACATACAAAATACTTGAGTGGATTCACAGGGGTGGAAAAGGAAGGAAGTTTGCAATGAAAACAGTGCAACATGTGGGCGTGGATGGAAATACACACACAGAGATGTGTTATAGGGATGTGAACAAATATATCTTGAACATAATTGTAGAGAGATGGAATATTTCCCTACCTCCTCCCCTTAATCCTACCTCCTCCCCTTAATCCTTCCTCCTCCCCTTAATCCTTCCTCCTCCCCTTCACCCTACCTCCTCCCCTTCACCCTACCTCCTCCCCTTCACCCTTTCCTTCTCACACTGGCCACGGCAGGAGGCAGCCTGCTGATATTAACATATGTATATGTTAATACATATACATATGTTAATATGTATACAGGCTAGTAGACATATATAATATACAGGCTAGTAGAGATAGCACTGTATGTCTTCTAGCCTGGCCCAGGGGTACTGGCTACCAAGGGATGGTATAATCTACCCGCGGATTATAGGACACGTGTACCTATAATCCTCCTAAATGGATCTCTGGGGTTTAGCGTGTCAGGGATCATCTTAAGTGAGGCCAAACTGACGCTGAAATAAGAGTCTCTAGCCTGCTTACTTTTTTTCTGTTAAATGAATTGGTGATAGTTTTTAAAAAGTTACTTTTTATTGAAATTTACTGGACTATTGGCTGGGATTTGAAATCTATTTGATCGTTGGCTTGGGTTCGAATTCCACTAGTTGCTGTGATATATAATCCCAGGTGATTGGTAAGGATTCCAATTCCAGTGTATGAATTATTCGGTCTCGCCTTTCACTGAATGGTTGGTTTTATAACTTAAGTGGCGTGGTTGTGTCACTTACTGTATCTTAAATAATACTTAAGTGCACCAGAGAATAGAGGCTTTTTACTCTGATTGTTAAGAGATAATGATTGGGCCTTTGAATTGTTTGGAATTAATGACTCATTAATAAATGGTTCGATCCCCGGTGGAGGCGGAAACAAATGGGCAGAGTTTCTTTCACTCTGATGGCCCTGTTCGTCTGGCAGTAAATAGGTACCTGGGAGTTAGACAGCTGCTACAGGCTGCTTCCTGAGGGGTGTGTAACAAAAAGGAGGCCTGGTCGAGGACCGGGCCGCGGGGACACTAAGCCCCGGAAGCACCTCAAGGTAAGGTAACCACCTACCCTTGCTTTACAACCATTATTCATGTCTAACCATTCATCTTAGTACACACAATGAGAGTAAGGGGAGACATGATCACAACCTACAAAATCCTCAGAGGAATCGACCGGGTAAACAAGGATAAACTATTCAACACTGGTGGGACGCGAACAAGGGGACACAGGTGGAAACTGAGTACTCACATGAGCCACAGAGACGTTAGAAGGAACTTTTTTAGTGTCAGAGTAGTTAACGGATGGAATGCATTAGGCAGTGATGTGGTGGAGGCTGACTCCATACACAGTTTTAAATGTAGATATGATAGAGCCCAGTAGGCTCAGGAATCTGTACACCAGTTGATTGACAGTTGAGAGGCGGGACCAAAGAGCCAAAGCTCAACCCCCGCAAGCACAAATAGGTGAGTACAAATAGGTGAGTACACATAATTACTGAAAGTCATACATTATTCATTAAATCACAAACAAAAGTAATTTATGGTTTTTTATATTGAGTTTACCCTCAGTGGAGACCTGTTCTCGTTCACATGACAGACCCATTTTCTTTAACATGTTCATTAAGTCCGTTTTCTTCTCTTCTCATGACTTAGTTTAAGCATCGTTAATGTTACTTTTTCCTTTAGATATTTTAATGCGTTTTAAATTGTAATAAAGGAAAAATGTAAATAAAAGCCCAGACTGTATCAACACAGAACTGACTCACAAACAAACAAAATAAATATATATTTATATATTTATTCAGGTGCTTCCCGAGCGCTTTGGCCTGGGTTCGTATCCTGGCCGGGGGAGGATTGACTGGGCGCCAATCCTAAACTGCAGCCCCTGTTCACCCAGCAGTAAATAAGTACCTGATTGTTAAACGATTTGGCGGGTCGTATTCCATGGGAAATATGAGGATTAACGACCTGCCCGGAACGCTAAGTGGCTTTACAAGAATGAAAGAACTCTTGTATATATAAATACAAAAAACATATATACTATATATAATAATAAATTGAGATAAAATGCTTGTCTAAGACTCTCGCCAGCTGAGAAGCCGGGCGCCATCTTGGATCCAATATGTTGGCCAATCTGGCATCATAATATAAAAGCCGTAAAGGAGTCGTATATTTCCTGGCCTGTGTTGTGGAGACCGCAGCCCCACGCCACCAGTGGTGGGGAGGAAGATGGGGTTGTCACTATGGCTGACGCGCCTTCATAAAATGTGAAGAAGGAGGAGACGGTATAGATGAACTATATATTCTATGGAGAGAGAGAGGAGAGTGGTTTCCTCTGAGAGTGTGTGTGGGTGTACTTACACATTTGTGCTTTCAGGAGAGGTTGGACCCCTTGGTTCTTGGACCCCCCCCCCACTACTTCCCAGGGTGATGGAGGGAGGGAGGGAGGGAGCAGGAGCCCAGGGTGATGGAAGGAGGGAGCAGCGAGAGAGAGAGAGAGAGAGAGAGAGAGAGAGAGAGAGAGAGAGAGAGAGAGAGAGAGAGAGAGAGAGAGAGAGAGAGAGAGAGAGAGAGAGAGAGAGAGTCACCAGACATACATTAAATCAGTTCCATATACGTGACTCCATCAAACAAGACTCTCCTGACAGAACTTCAGAGTTGCGGGGGATTACCGCATCAAAGTTCAGGCAGGAGAGGGGCAGGACCTGGCCGCCTGAGTTACCTTCATGCCCCCATCATAACAACTGGGTGTGGAGTGCCGCAGGGTGTGTGGAGTGCCCCGGGGTGCGTGTGGAGTGCCTGGGGTGTTGTGCGTACATAGAGAGAGAAGAAAGGTGTAGAGGGCGCCCCAAAGACTCTAGTGGGTAGCAATGGCTTCAGTGTCATGTTCGTATCCGTTCTGCTGTTGCTGGCCCTGGAGGCTCCTGGCACTACATTGCTGGTGCCACAGCGTGTAAGCTGCCGGCGCTGCCCCTTCTACCATTTGCTTAACTGTTCTACTGCTGGCAGCGTTATGTATCAACTGGCACGTGACGTATATTGCTAATGCAGCTGTTGCCGGTGTTACACCGTGACATTACAGCTGTAAGTGCCTCTG